TATATATATATATATATATATATATATTTCACAATTTCAACCCTTTAACAGTTTGGTTTTAATCGGTGATATATTTCAAAATTATAGTGACTTTAACCACTGCTAAAAACTAGGCATAACACTGCACATCGATCCAATGAGCGTCATAAAGGCCGTTTGCAGCAATTGCAAATACAACGGATTCAAATACAACGGATTTGCAGCACTTTCTAAATCGCAGTAACGAATTTAGCAGGTGTTTTAATTAGTGCAATATGTCAAAAAAGTAATGCATAATCGATCTCTTGTAACTATAGTAGAGAATATGGGAGAAATATATAGTTAAAAGATAATGATCATAGGCAAATAATATTAGCTGGCCAACGATGGTCGGATGGTTGTGATTGGATGATGTCGATTAGGTTACTGTGGTCGAGCGACAATAGCTGAATGATTGTGGACAAATATCTATAATTTAACTATTAAGTTGTAAGCTCTAGCCTTGAATGTATAAGTATATATTCCCTAAAAAATCTTTTATTATTATTATGGAATCCTAATTCCCAAATTATAAATTTGAGTATTTTAGCATTATTAAACTTATCAATATAGAATGAAAATTGGAACAAAATTATATTCCTAATATACTAGCAACATGATTTATTTATCACCCTATATTAAACTTATATAAGTTGATAGCTATGAATTTACTAATAAATAAATAAATAATAATTCAACTCAACTTGAACCACTCCTTATTAGATCATCCCAACAACAGCATCTTGTCAGTGAGGTGATTTCAGCAATCAATATAATCAAATCTCCAAAAGTAAATCCTCAACATATTAAAAAAATCAAATTTACTACATGTTAAATTCAAAATGGGATGGCTCTTTCAAGAGAAATTATTACGTGCGGAGTCTGAACAGAGCTTGCATCTGTACTCCAACGATATTGTGCCACGTCGCTTGTACACGATGTTGAATACAACTAGTACATAAGTTGTACATATTACTATGTACAAGCAACATGATGCAATATTACTATGTACAAGAACATGTGATTACTTTCTAAAAAATAAAGCAGTACTAAAGTTGTTCCAATGAGACCCTCAACCTCTACCATTAGTTTTTAAAATAGCTTCCTAATCAGTCATAATAAGGTTACAAAAGTCTCACACTCCCTTTAATCTTCTCACTAATCATTGACCGCTCTCTAATTAGTTCTCTAAATGACACTAACAGCTAATTAAACCAAATATATCTCTCCTCTACCAGTTCTAGAAAGCCAGCAGCTTCAAACTTCAACCAACCAACGTTCCAGCTAATCGCCTTCGTCATCTTTTCCTCATGCTTACATGTCCATCCCCTATAAATGGATTCAAAACGCCAGATAAACGCCACAACTAATTCAAAGCTATCATCTTTTTAATTCTATTACAAGCGATCGATGAAGAGGTTTCGATTTTATGGCGAGGAGATGAAAGAAAGTATAGACAGCTTCAGATTAGCGAACGTGCTTATGCTTCTTTCAGGTGGCTCAGCCGCTACCGCCGCCGCCGGCGAGGTGGCGGCAGGGAAGGTGTTCGAGTGCAAGACATGCAACCGGCAGTTTCCTTCGTTTCAGGCTTTGGGCGGGCATCGGGCCAGCCACAAGAAGCCGAGGCTAGGCGGGGCGGATGGGCCGGTCGATCAGGTTAATAGCGGGCCGGCGAAGCCACGGGTACATGAGTGCTCGGTCTGCGGGCTTGAATTTTCTATCGGGCAGGCGCTTGGCGGCCACATGAGGCGGCACCGGGCCGCCGTAGCCGGGATAAACGGGACTCCACACGGTCTGTGGGCGACAGAGAAGGAGCCCGTCGGTGAGAAGGCAGGGGTTGGGCTGGATCTTAACCTGCTGCCGCCGTTGGAGGTGGAGGAGGTAAGAAGTCCGCCGAAGCTTTTGGGCTTTACATTGACGCCGGCGATAGTGGATTGCATGTATTAAATTTAAATTTTGCTTCTTTGTTTTATTTATTTATTTATTTTGTTTTTTTTTTTTTTTTTGGAGTAGATGTGGCTGTGATTATTCGAGGAAATTTAGTAGAATACATGTAAATGAAATATTGACATACTTTTGGTTTGTATTTAATGATCATTCTCTAATCTGATGTATAAATTCACTGAATAGCAATTAAGATTTATTAGTTTGAAATCAGTGGTAAAAACTAAGCCCTAAAAGCGAGACGAAAGCTAAGAATATCATCTTGCTCATAGATTTTAATTGCAAAAGATTCCCAAATTCTTTTATGTTTCGAAACTTATTTGTTAATTTTATGTTTATATGAATATATTATAGTAATTCCTGAAGTTTTAGAAGTTTTTCTTTTAAGTTTATTTATGTAAACTTGAAGATAAAAATTGCTCCTTGAAGCCGTTCGCTCCTCTTGGATTTCTTCCTATGATGACTTAGGCTTCGTTTGGGACTATTTTCTTTCTGCTTTTTAAAGCGAGTTTCTAGTACAAAATTTTAAATTTTTTAAACTAGAAAGTCGTTTTAAGAAGCAGTAAGAAAGCAGCCCCAAACAAAGCCTTATTCTCCTTCTTTCTGCTTTTCTTTTTTGTTTTTCATTTTCGTTTGTGCCTCCGTCGGTGGATGGCGGTAAACCGATTGTCCGACCGTGGCTTTCTCAATGGAGATAAAAATTCTTGTTCTCTCCTCCAAGCCTTGTCTGGGGCTTCTCTCTCTTTTGAGTTTCCCGACCTCCATCCTTCAACACATCGAGGGCGCTCCGTCCCTTTGAATTTTGGAGGAAGAAATCCTTACCCTAGCTCAACCTTTCGAGTTTTCGTTGGTTGGCAAATTCCCAAATCATAGACCGCCTATGGATTTGATTTGTAAGTTATTCTTCAATCTGAAATTGATCGGTGATAGCTTCATTACTGTTTTGGACCCTCGACACATTTTAATCAAGCTGGCTAATGATATAGATTACAATAGAGTTTTTGCTCATCATTCTTGATCTCCTTTTTTTATATAATTGTGGAATCGCCTATTATTCCTATTTGGGTTTCATTCCCAAATCTTAGGTCTCATCTGTTTTCACCACGAATTCTTCATGGTTTGGGTTCGCTATTTGGCCGGCCATTGAAAACTAAAAATGCTACTGCTGTTGTCTCAAGGCCATTTGTCGTCAGGGTACTTGTCGAACTGGATATCTCTAAAATTTATCATGAGGATGTTTGGATTGGTCAAGATAATTTAGGTTATGTCCATAAAGATGTTATGGAGGAGTTTGCTCCATTTTGTTACTATTTTAAAGCTTTGGGGCATTGTAAAACTAATTGTTGTATTATTCACCCTCACTTAATTAGGGCTCCTACTTATCACGTTGTCAATATCATAAGAGTTGAGTCTAATGATCACGTTATTTCTAAGGCTCCAGTTGTTAATGGCTTATTTACTCCTATTGGTGATGATCTCGGTCATGTTGTTGCTCTTCAACAAGATTCGACGGCTAATACTTTTGTCCTTGTTGTTGGATCTATTGCGGATTGCATCATTGTCCCTCCCGAACATGTTATTAATACTCCAGTTGATCCTATGGCTAACGTTCCTCAGATGGATTTGTCTGGTGTGAATTTTGTGGGTGTTATGCCTATTGTGAACTAATCACTTTGCACCTTCTCAACCCCTCCCTTACTTGTTGTTAATGTCATGGCTCTCTGATTGTTGGTAGGGATGAGCCTTCCATTGTTGTTGGTAACGATGGTGCTAATACGGTTGTGAATGTTGACACTGCTCATGTTTCTTGTTTGTTGTAGATAGCCTCACCTTAGATGTGTGTGATGTTAATAAGGTTATTTTGAAGGTGGGTCGCGGAGTTGATCAATCTGTCTCAAGTGGTGGTGGCAAAAGGTGTAAAAGTAAATCTAAGAAGATATAGTCCTTTTGGTTGACCCTATATCTTTCGATGTTGTGTGCTTCAATTTTGTGGATTTTTATTGGTGTTCTAGACGATGATGAGACAAACGGCTCTCTGTTCACCACCTTCTTGGCCTTGTCTTGTTGGCAACCTTAGTGGTATAATTACTCTCGTGCTCTATGATTGCATATGTGGTTTGTGGTTTATGGTTGATGCCGCCTTTGGATGGTCATTGTCTGGCTACGGGGTGGCTGCAGGGAGCCTCTTGCCATTTACTAAGTCCGATTGGTTGGCTTCTTTGCCTTCGTATTTAGTTGTGCATTCTTTGGAGATTGTTTTCCTTTTCCTTTACTGATGTACTTTGGGTTTGTCGGATTTTCGCCTTAGTTGTATTATCCTTTTATTGAATGGAATTATCTTTGGGAAGAAAAAAAAAAGATACATATCATGAAAATCTCTACAAAGACCATTTGTTCTATAAAATTGATATCATAAAAAATAATCTTGATCGGGCATGAATCTTGATGCACATATGAATTGAAAATTTTCAAAATTAAATTCGGAACCATCCGAACTCCGGTTTCAGCAAACTTATCATCAAATTGAACGACTCGAAGAGAGCAACCCAACGACACTACTATCAGTCCAATCTGAACCCAAATGGGTCCAAATTAAGGGCTTAAAGCTTATTTAGAAGCTTCATATCATTAATTGGATAACCAAATGATATACAAATGTGACATGCTTATAGTCAAATCGAATGGCTCGATGAGAAGAATCCAACGAGCCCAAGATATTATTACACAAAAATATTTATAATAACTTGATTGTATTGGGCTTCATTTGTGATAATTTTCATATATGATTTCTAAAACGGCTTTTTTAGTGCAAATTTTTTTTGAAAGTAACAAAATAACAGTAGCCAAAAAAATGTCCCAAATGAAACTTTAGTCTATTTTCAATGCATTGAGGTGCTTGAGCTGAACTATATTACAAGAATAATTACATCAACATTTTGTTAGACTTGACAGAAGCAATAAATATCAAAGGAATTCTATGTTGAGGAAGATTAGAATAAGCTTCTTGAGTGAATTTGACAAAATCACATAAGATTTGGGGAGGCTTCAGAGAGAATTTATAGGAAAATTGTAAGCAGGTTGGCATTCTTTGTTTGACTCCTAAATTAAGAGCCTTCCACTATAGACTAGTAGATTTTTTTTGTATTTTTTCATATGAGTTATATAGAGAAAACAAGTCTTTATGACAAATACTTGAATTTATAGCTCATTGGTTGGAAAGAAGTTAAATAATTTTAGTAGGTCGGGTTGAAGTACCTTAATGTTGGCCATTAAAAGAGAAACATAATATTAAGTTAAAAGTTGCAGAGATGAAGATGCTCAGGTGAATGAGTGACTTTACTCTTAGAGATATGATATGAAATGAGCATATACGTGAAAAGGTTGGAGTTGCTCCAGTGGTAAATAAGATTAGAGAGTTAGGATGACCCGGATAGGAAAGTAGAGGTATTAGATTTGACTTATGTTAAGAAAAATAGATGTATACCTAAAAAAATTGGTTAGAAAATATTAGAAATGATCTTTCTTTATTAGATTTAAACGAGAATTTGACTTTTAACATCACAATGGAGAAAAATGATTCATGTAACCAACCCCATGTAGTGAGACAAATACATGATGTTTCTGTTGTTGTTGTGGATTGAAGCACTCATCCTATCTAGCTTATTATATTCCCCTATTGACCATCACATAATCTTTGTTAATGACCGACATAAATATCTACCAACTATTTATGCCTTATCTCTATTGGCCACAAATATTTGACTCTCATTCTTCAAGTGATATGATCTTACCTCCTATATCAAGAGACATCAAAGATGTTCGTTTATGCGAGAGATTATTACGTGCGGTGTCCGGACTATCTGGAGGTGAATCCGAACACGCCACGTCACCCGGATGCACTGGCCCCCAGTGACGTGGCCCAATCAAATTCGCATCCGAACGAATCCAGACGCCGCACCAAGCACTCATGATTGTCTTGCAATGACGAGTATAAACGAACAACAGAGGCAACCATGGCACCTATAGGCGTTACCAAACTCAGCTGATAACACTTCATTTAGAAGAAATAAATTCAATTGTCTTGCAGCATTCACATTGGATTTTTACCTGATCAATAGCCATAATGAATACAAAAAAACCAACACCTCATCAATCTTAGAAACTAATCCTTAATTTACAACGAACAGTAAAAGTATCACTACAAAAACAACCCCAATATTGAGGAAAAACTGCCATCAGCCCAAATAAACTGAAGGAATGCAGTCCCTAAGGCCTCGCTTGGGACAGCATTTTTGCTGTTTTTTTTAAACAACATTTTAACATAAAAAACTTGTTTTATAAATAAATTTTTATACTAAAAAGTTGTTTTAAAAAACTGTAAGAAAACTGTCCCAACCGAAACACGAAAATATGCCTTCCCACTAATGAAGTTTGTCTAGCTTCAGCATTATTTCTAATTTCATCAATTGCGCATGTTATTATTCAACATACAGTTGACACTGGAAAAGCTCACAAGCTCTGAAAACTTGCATATAGTTCATTGAAGAGCGTACTCAAGGAAAAATTCAGACGTAAGGAATAGCTGCCTGCTCCCTTTGTTGAAAGCAAAATCAGATAATCAGAACGGGAAACTAATTGGGTCAGGCTGCATTGCCTTCCCGATGAGCTCGCGCTGCTCCTTCTCGTGAACGGAGAAGAAACCGGTGGCGGTGGAGGCTGACGGTGCCCTTCCAACATATTTAATGTCCTCCATAGTCCCCCTGCCAAGTGATCTCAGGGCGGTGCATAGGCGAGGAGCAATATAATGGTATGCGCCCATGTTCATTGGCTCTTCCTGGCACCAAACAACCTCTGCATCTGGAAGAACAAATAAGAAAAATTCAGTAACAATATGTATTTGAAATCCGTGATAAAAAAAGTTTGGGTCATATATTCTAATCAAATTTTGGTCTAGTTAAGTCTCCTCGTTATTGGATTGGATTTATTTTAAGATGAGTACAATAAATTTGTATTCCACATTTCAAAACAAATCCAATGATTTTGAAACCATCCTAACTAAAAGATTGGATTAAGATATTTTGAGTTTTTTTTTTTTGTGAAATTTTTTTGTTTCAAGATATCCTTATCAATTATTTTCTGACAATAAATTTCATAGCTGTTGAATTTACTTTACAATTAGTCCAATGTATGGGAAATCAATCAAAATTTTTAGTACAATCATCCCAAAGTAAATTTAATAGCTTTGAGATTCACTTCAGCTAAAATTTGATCAGTATATCATGAGCCAATTTTTTTGCAGAAAAAATAAATAGAAATGAAGGCTCATTTATGCTAAGATATGTCCACAACCGCATTCATGGTTTATTTATTTGCAAATACGGATAATAGAGTTTAGTTTGCATACTTGGATATCGTTTTAGCTCTCTCTGAACAAGATCATAGGGAAAGGGGCAAAGCTGCTCAACCCTACAGATGGCAATATCCTTCCGATCCCTTTTCTTTCGTTCATCATCAAGTTCATAATATACCTAAAAGATGAAAATTCAAAACACAAATCAAGCAAAAATCAAAATCCATATAACCTACGCGGTCCTAGCTTGCAAAGTACAATAAGCTACAAAAGTTAAGCCATTGCAACCTTTCCAGAGCAAAGCACAAGGCGGTTAATGCCGTCTTCCAAATCTTTATGATCATTCTGATCTTTAATAAGGCGTTTGAATCGTGTTCCTTGTTTGTCAAAACCTGGGTGACCAGCCACATCATCAAATTCTGAAAGGTTTGATTTGCAGTCCTTATGACGAAGGAGACTCTTAGGAGACATCACAATTAATGGTTTCCGAAAATCCCTGTGAAGCTATTAAAAAACAAAAACTCATAAGCATTTTAACAAGGTTCACGTCAGAACTAAAAATATATGACAAACTAACCTGACGTCTCAAAACATGGAAATAATTTGCTGGAGTTGTGACATTCACAACTTGCCAATTGCACTCCTGGATCTGTTTCCGAAGTGTTGGCTCCATCTCCGGAATAATATATGGGTTGTCATCACTCATCTGCATAAGCATCAATAGTGCTATGTTAAAAATAATATGGCAAAGACTAACAACTTAAAGACAAATATTCTATTCCATTTAAAAATATGGCAAAGAAATACAGCCATATTAAAAGTGATCCTAAAAAAAGTGTTTATGTTTAGAAAAGCAGTATAAAGTTTGCATTTTTCGTTTGCCAAGGAAAAATAAAAGCTATTTTTATGCAAAGAAAGTATATCGCAAATATGTTACATGTTTACTTTTATAAAATGGCTTGGAGTGATTAAGTGTTGGATTTCGATGAACATGACCACATAAATATCTGTAAGAGCATCTAATAAACGCATTAATAAAGAATTTTAACAATTTGTGCCACAGCTTTAACACATTGGCAATCACAATGATATATTTAGCAATCTGTTTACAGAACTGTCTTCTACTATAGCATAATTCTGAAAGTTGCATGAAATACCTGAAGAAAGCGCTCCAACCTTGCACTTGAATGTTCTGGGCCTTGACCATCAAAACCATGGGGAAGCAACACACAAAGACCAGTTTGGCGAAGCCATTTTGACTCTCCGCTGCTCAAAAACTGATCAAATATAACCTGAGCACCATTGGCAAAATCGCCAAACTGAGCTTCCCATAGCACTAGAGAATTAGGGTTCTCCATAGAGTAGCCCAATTCAAAGCCAAGGACCGCAAACTCGGAAAGAGAGCTGCAAAACAAATTGAAAATGCAGAAACAAAAGAGTTGAGCATGTTGCAACTACATCCCAAGAAAATAATTCACTGAAGCACTTTCTTGCAAAAGATGCTATTAAAAAAAATCAATTCATACATAACAGCTTCCAAGGCTTTAAAAATCAGATCGGACATGCCAGTTCAACTGGTTGAACAGTGAAACGGCCGGCCGGCCAATTACTGTTTTCATAAAAACTGGATTTGCACAAAACCACCATCGGCTATTTTGAGCCATTAAGATCAAATCAAATGGTTTAAAATAAATTAAGGAAAATCTTATACCCTTATACGAAACACAAAAGAAAAACCCTACTATTGTTTTCTAAGATTCTTCATGTTCGGGCGTAACTTCCCCCATACTCTATTTTGTCATCTCGCTCTATTTCGCAAAGAAGGAAGAAGGAATCAAACACCCTGGTCGTGCTCGACACCTCTCCAACTTACTGCTACGAGTTCATCACTTCTTCTCCTCGCATTCACAACTCACCCGTCTTGTGCTCTTTGATTTTTCATTTATTCTTTTACTTTGATTTTTTATAGTCATATTTGTTAGAATGTGGCCTCAGAAGATTGAAGATCTGAAGATGTCTGATTTGATTTCTTTTGAATAAAAATAAAAATAAAACTGCAATTGCATTCGCCATTCGTGGTTCGCCTCTATGCAGTTGTGTTGTGTTTATGAATGTCGAAATTTCTATTTTGAGCAATTGAGATGCAAGCTTTATTTATTTTAAGTAAATGATATAAATATAGAAGTAAATTTTAAATTTTCAATCAAAAGTTACTCAAAATACAACATTACAAAGTAAATTTAAACATCTCCAGGACATCTGAGGACCCAAATGCCAAGAATCTAGACTCGTAGATAACAGATGCGGGTTAATTTTCTTGTATTTCAAATTTATTGAATTTATTTGTTATGTTTTTAATTGCTTCATATTATGATTCTATTCAATTTTTGTTACATATTTACAAATGATTATGCAATTATTATAATATTTTAATATAATAAGTATTTATTACAACATCCGCTTCGACCCGGTCGAACCATCAAACTGCTAACCTCTCCTTCTTCCGGTTCGTTATTCAGTCCGTTTTTCAAAGCCTTGGTAGATTCTAGTATCTTCAACCTATCATATAGAATAATGGCGACATAAATGAGGATATATATTTTAAAGTTAAAGCTAGCTGCTTAAAATAGAGAAGTATATCTCGACTATTCCAATAAAAGCTAATTTTATGGAGTAATTATACTGGGTATCTCATATGGATATGAGTGTAGGATGGTGAAGAAATCACTAATTTGTTAAAAATAAGAATATAAAGATGGATGCACCAGACTAGGAACAACATATTGAGAAATTATTATATTGGAGGGAAGGAGTATCACCTATTGAAGATAGGGTTAAAATATAAACTTATGCCGCAATGGAGATAGAAAATACATCAATAAGAATGATAGTAAAAACTAAAAACTAAAAAAGAAGCATTGAAAAATAGTTTTATGATAGAGGTTGCAGTAGTAGCACCTGTTGAAGATGAGATAGTAAAATAGACTTATATGCTTTTAGTATGTATGTTAATAAAAATAATAGATAAAATTAAAAACTTAAAAGGATGTCTTGAGAAATAAATATATGAGATGAGTTACAGGAGAAGCTTCTACTGAAGATGAGGTGGTAGAAAATAAATTTATGTGCTTTGAGCATGTATAATGGAGGACAGAATATACAGAAATAAAAATGAGAAATAAAATTATTGTTAAAGAACAGGGTGGAAAATGGGGAAGCCCTAAAGGTCACAAGGATGGTAGTTCTGCAAAAAAGATATGAAAGAATGAGAGTCACCCAAATAGCACCCAACATGAATGAAAGTGAAAAGAGAATTCATAAAACCGACCCCAAATAGTTGAGATAAGACAATGATGATGTTATTGATGATGAGAGTGTTGCAAAAAACGTGAGAGCATCAATAAATAAATTAAATAGCCAATCAAAATAATGAAGATCAACTAAATGATTAGGCTAGGAATGGTAATGGACTGTGAACAAGTTTGCATAGCATAATTAATTTATGTTCAGGATTCACCAGAACTGACAAAATACTCATTTAGTTGGGATAAATCAAGCAAACTCAAATGACAATTCAAGCCAGAAACCATATACCTACTTTAATTAGGCCTTCAAGAAAGAAAACTCATACAGTAAGGAAGCCCGAGAGTATAAAATTGATGAGTAGTTGATGAGGTTGGTATGGGAGCTTCATAATTAGTTGCTCTTTGAGAGATGGAGAAAGACAGTGGAGAAAACATTTGGCGAAGAATCCTCAAAGAGAGTAGGATAGGAAGATGTAATGGAGAAATATAAATAGAAGTGGCAACCACATGAGGAGACAAATTTAAGAATCAGAACCTCAAGTAGCCCACTGAAATTGGAAGACTTAAATAGCAATTAATTGTCATGGTCCCCCCCATATTTTGGGCTACTCCACTCCAAAACATAATCTGAAACAAACAAATATCCATCATCGCCAGGTGATTGAATTCATTTTCAGCTAATATTGTACCTAAAATTAAAACAGCTAGACAAACTTCAGGAAGTCATGCCGTTTTAACAATATGGAAGGTGACTTCATATCAAAGTGTCAAAAGGAATAGCAAAAAACACTTCATGTTAGCTTGAATAAAATCAAGAAAGTTTCATAAAAGTACCTGTTGCTAACGGTGAACATCTCCTCATTTTGATTCATAGTCAAATGATCAAGAGGGCAGTATATCTCTCCAGTTTCTTGGTCATGAATAACAGCATGGCGATGGCTAAATGTGCCTCTTTCAACATCTTGGCCACTTAATCTGACATGGTTTCCTTCCACGATAAGTGTTGCAAAAGCAAGAGCCTCTCCAACTGCCCAGTCAATGCCCTCTCCAGTTTGAATCATCTGGGCTCTCTGGTCAAAAACTCTCTTGATACCTTTGTGAGGTTTGAAATTTTCTGGGATGGTTGTGATGGCTTCCCCAACTCTCTTGAGAATTTCAGGTTTCACACTGTACAGTAGCAAAAATTAGAAAACTATGAAAAGGAAATACTGAGCCCAGTGCAAATGACAACAAGAAGAAAAAAGACTATACCCAGTATTTCGAACACGTGATATCTGTTCTGGAGATTTAAATCCAGCCCAGTAAGCAGAGAGCCAGTCTCTTTTAATTGGGATATAGTCTTTACTATGATTGAACTCGTCTTCCAAGATGGACTCCACTTTGTTATTAATCTTATTGATATCCTCCTTAGAAAATACCTCCGACTCCACAAGTTTCTTTTCATAAATTTCAAGCGCACTTGGATGGTTCCGAATCACCTACAGGAGAGTATCATAATATCAGTATTTGAGGGAATTGTAGTTAAGGTACATGAGTAACAATTAACATGAAAATATTTGATTTAATCCCATATTAAATAGTTGAAAAATAAATTGGAATTAGAAATATCAAATGGGTAGCCCTCACCAACAAGCTTAAACTTTGAGTTAAAAATAGATTTAAACACTAGTGTATTTAGCCCAGTTTTGATCCCCCATATATTTACTCTCCCTACTCCATAAAGTGTGTCATAAGTGCAAAAAAGATACTCCTGATGGAAGATATTTCCTCGTCCATGCATGAGGCCTAAATTTTCTTTATGTCGGTAATTTCTTACCTTAACATTTTTCTTCTTAAAAATTTTATCATTCGTGTTAAAAGAGTCCTCATTTTAGCTAAATTAGCAACAACTTCATTTTAGCTAAATTAGCAACAACTGGAATTGAAATTGTAAGAAAAAAAAAACAATTATTCGTTGATTTTTCATAGTTCAAATTTATTATTGCTTTATTTGAATTAATAGATCGTTGCATCAACATTTTGGGTTTGGCTTTCATGTATTTACGAGTTTACACTTAAAGAAAGAATTTTTTTTGTACGATTAGTGGTTTTTCATATGTGAATCCTTTTTTTTTTTTTTGTGATCCACATCAATGGCATCATTTAATTGCATCAGGAAACCTAAGACGTCCTGCAATAACTTGATATCAGATAATGAAGTTTTGTAAATATGATAATCAAAATCAGGATTCAAGGTACTGATCATCAAAATGAAGAATTTTGACCACTCAGCAAAATCAATTGGTTAAAATGTTCAATATCATCATCAACATCAATCATTTATCCCACTACATGAGGTCAAATACATGAATTCCTTTTTTTCTCCATAGTGTCCTGTTAAGAGTCAAATTCTCATTTAAATCAAATAAAAAAAATAAATCATTTCTAATATATTTTAATCAGGTCTTTTTTTTTGCCTATCTCTACCTTTCTTAACATAGGCAAAATCTAATACCTCTCCTCTCCGAACCAGGTCATCGGAATGCCAAAATTTTATATGAGCAAACTATCCAAGGCAACTCTTTCTAATCTTGTCTGCCACTGGAGCTACTCCAACCTTTTCACACATATACTCCTTTTTTGTTCTATCTATAAGAGTGAAGCCACTCATCCACCTGGGCATTTGATAGGAAATGGATACAATTTCAGCTTCGTTTGTTTTTTTGGTGCTTTTGTAAAAGACAGTTTTAAAAAATATTAGTTCAGAAAATGGAGTTTTCTCACGAAGAAGCATATATAAAAAGCTTTCTCAAAACTGCAGAAAAATGAAAAAAATGAGTTATTGGGAACGTGATTTGAAGAACCAAACAACAACAAAAAATTCCTCCGTTTCCAAAAACGGAAAAGGCAAAAAACACGCTCAAACAAACAAAGCCTTCCTTGAAATTAGTGAATGACAATAAGAAATTAAGAAGAACACACCAAAACCTCTTATTTTATTACAAGATATATGAAAGAAAATAGTAAGATACAATTGTATCTTCAATTGGAGAGGAAGATCCGACTCTCCCAAATCCCTAGCAGGCGACTAGAGCCCTCACAACCTAAGAAATTCTAATTTCAACAAACTCAAAACATAATTTGAAATCGCCCTATTGTTAGCCTTAAATAGGCTCCCCTAATTTTCTCTCAAATCAATCCCATTTTCTTAAATAATTATCTCTCGTATTTGAATTCAAATTAAATCTTTTTTCCCAAATAATTCCCTCCCAATTGTAATTAAAAATTTCCTAAGCAATTCCTCCATTTTTTTTTTACCTAAACAATTCCTCCATGATCCTTCTTACTTTCCCTAAATAATTCCCTCTTAGATTTTAAATTCAAATTAAATATGTTGCCTTAAATAATTCCCTCCCAATTATAATTAAAAATTTTCCTAAACAATTTCCTTTTGATTAAGAAATTTTTTAAATGATTCCCTCTTGATTAAAAAAATTTTTAATTCTCTCCCAATCAAATTGGCCGGTCCATCAAAACTCCCCTCCCAAAGTACCAACTTATCCTAAAGGTGTAACGAAGGAAATTGCTATTGAAGCACTAGACTAATAGCACTAGACTGAAAAATGGGTTGTCACCAGGTCAAATGATCCCTTCCCTCTAGCATCTACCTGATCAATCTCTCCATCTCATCCTAATGGAGTTGGGGAGAATGGTACGGACGAACACTAATATGTGAGACTTCATCCTTCCAAATGATAGCATGCTCGTGTTCCCGCAAAGGAAGCAACCCCTGAACAATATTTGGTGCTTATATATTATCCCCATCTTCTTTTCCTTCCAAACTCTGCAGCTCCACCAAAAATCTTACTCCTTCACCCTTTCCTCTCCATGGACGTGGTTCCAAAGATAACATCTCTTCTTCCCCCAAAATTTTCACCTACTGATTCTCCCTCGTCATCACTATACTAGGGTTTCACCTATTTCCTTATCTGGTTAACTATGCTCCCACCTCCAATGTTGCCGATTTGGTTTGGCCCTCAAGCAGCAGCTTCTTTATCATCCCCTCAATGATGCCAAATTTCTCATCGATCTTCTTACGGATGGTAGAAAATTGCATTTCAAAATATAAAATATTTTCTACAAAATTAGATTTCAATTGTCTCATCTCCCTTTTCAAATCTTTTTTCCCAAATAATTCCCTCCCAATTGTAATTAAAAATTTCCTAAGCAATTCCTCCATTTTTTTTTTTACCTAAACAATTCCTCCATGATCCTTCTTACTTTCCCTAAATAATTCTCTCTTAGATTTTAAATTCAAATTAAATATGTTGCCTTAAATAATTTCCTCCCAATTATAATTAAAAATTTTCCTAAACAATTCCCTTTTGATTAAGAAATTTTTTAAATAATTCTCTCTTGATTAAAAAAAATTTTAATTCTCTCCCAATCAAATTGGCCGGTCCATCAAAACTTCCCTCCCAAAGTATCAACTTATCCTAAAGGTGTAACGAAGGAAATTGCTATTGAAGCACTAGACTGAAAAATGGGTTGTCACCAGGTCAAATGATCCCTTCCCTCTAGCATCTACCTGATCAATCTCTCCATCTCATCCTAATGGAGTTGGGGAGAATGGTACGGACGAACACTAATATGTGAGACTTCATCCTTCCAAATGATAGCATGCTCGTGTTCCCGCAAAGGAAGCAACCCCTGAACAATATTTGGTGCTTATATATTCTCCTCATCTTCTTTTCCTTCCAAACTCTGCAGCTCCACCAAAAATCTTACTCCTTCACCCTTTCCTCTCCATGGACGTGGTTCCAAAGATGACATCTCTTCTTCCCCCAAAATTTTCAACTATTGATTCTCCCTCGTCATCACTATACTAGCGTTTCACCTATTTCCTTATCTGGTTAACGATGCTCCCACCTCCAATGTTGCCGATTTGGTTTGGCCCTCAAGCAGCAGCTTCTTTATCATCCCCTCAATGATGCCAAATTTCTCATCGATCTTCTTACGAATGTTAGAAAATTGCATTTCAAAACTTAAAATCTTTTCTACAAAATTAGATTTCAATTGTCTCATCTCCCTTTTCAAAACTTATACCTTTATTCTCGCCATAGGTACCCAGATCTAGACTCTGATACCAATTTGATAGGAACTGGATACAATTTTCTCGAAATCAATGAACGGAAATAAGAAATTAAGAAGAACACGCCAAAACCTTTTTTTATTGCAAACTATATGAAAGAAAACAGCAAGATACAGTTGGATGGTAGAAAATTGCATTTCGAAACTTAAAATCTTTTCTACAAAATTAGATTTTAATTGTCTAATCTCCCTTTTCAACACTTATACATTTATTCTCGCCATAGGTACCCAGATCTAGACTCTGATACCAATTTGATAGGAAATGGATACAATTTTCACGAAATCAATGAACGGCAATAAGAAATTAAGAAGTAAACACCAAAACCTTTTTTTATTGCAAAATATATGAAAGAAAACAACAAGATACAGTTGGATCTTCAATTGGATAGGAAGATCCAGCTCTCCTAAATCCCTAGCCAACAGCAATAGCCCTCATAACCTAAGAAATTCTAATTTCAGCAAGCTCAAAACATAATATGAAATCACCCTATTGTTAGTCTTAAATAGACTCCCCTAATTTCCTCTAAAATTAGCCCCCTTTTCCTCTCAAATTAGCCCCCTTTTCCTAAATAATTCCATCTCATATTTAAATTCAAATTAGATTGTTTGTTCTAAATAATTCCCTCCCAATTATAATTAAAATTTTCCAAAATAATTCCCCCTTGATTCCTTCTCCCTTTCTCTAAATAATGCCCTCTTAGATTTTAAATTCAAATTAGATCTCTTGTCTTAAATAATTCCCTCACAATTGAAATTAAAAATTTTCCTAAACAATTCCCTTTTGATAAAGAACCTTTCAAAACAGTTTCCTCTTGATTAGGAAACTTCCTAATTCCCTCCCAATCAAATCGGCCGGTCCATCAACAACCTCATCACTACAACACTTTTTTTTCTTTTAATGGCCAACATTCTGTCATAAGGCATTGCAGGTCTCACAACCATCTTATAGAATTTTCACTTAAGTTTGAGGATTACATTTCTATCACACAATGGGCCCGATGCATTCCTCCACTTCAACCATCCAAGTTGAATTCTACTAATAATATCCTCATATATTTCACCATCAATTTGAACAAGAAACCCGATATATCTAAAATGTGTACTCTTATGAATGACTTAATCGCCTATAGTCATAATCCCCACACTAGATCTATTACTACTAAAATTACACCCCATGTATTCAGGTTCTAAATCAACATAGACGAAAACCTTTAGACTCTAAGGTTGGCCTCCATAATTCAAGTTTACCTTCAACTCCCTCTCAAGTTTTGTCAACAAGAAGAATATCATCAGCACAAAGGGCATACACTAGGGTACATCTTGCAAATGTCTAGTAAGAGCATCCATGATTAAAGCAAAAAAGATATGGGCTTAATAAAGTTGATCCTTGATGTAATCCAACTGAAATAGGGAAATAATTGGTCAAACCACCTTGTGTTTGAACACAAGTAACAGCTCCTGCATAGATATCATTAATAACTTCGATATAAGCATTATTAACACCTTTCTTTTTAAGTACTCTTAAGAGCACATATCTTTGAACTTTATCATATGTTTTTTTCTAAATCAATAAATATCATAAGTAGATCCTCCTTATTCTCTCTATATATTTCTCCGTCAAACCTCTCAATAAATATATAGCTTCCATAGTAGACCTACCTGGCATGAATCCAAATTGATTTTGAGAAACATTAGTATCACGTCGTAATTTATGTTCAATAACTCTCTCCCACTGCTTTAAAGTATGACACATTAACTTAATCCTTTCATAAATCGCACATTCTTGTGCATCACCTTTATTCTTTAAAATAAGAATCAACACGTTCTTTCTCCACTCACCTAGCATATTTTTAGTCTTCAAAATAATATTGAAATGTTAAGTCAAGAAATCCTTTCATCTCCTAAGCATTTCTAACACCTCAATTGGTTGAAATGTTAAAAAAAATAAAATCAAATGTGCAAGATTATGGAGTGAAATTAAAATTTACAAAACCAATCAAATTCATGCACATGAACTCAAAGTATAATCCAACCATTCATTCACTTGAATGTTAGCATGGATATGATACAAGAAAACTATAGTGAAAATAATAAAGATGTGCATAATAAGGTGTTTGATAAAAAGGTTTATAGAAATTATAGATGTCAAAATTTTGCCAGAGAAAAGTTGAAGGGTCTACTTTTGATGGAAAATTTGATATCAAGGCATTTACTGATTGAATAATTTATTTGAATGGCAAACTATATTAGCAGAACATCAATTAAGATTTGTGAAATTAAATTATTTAGACAAGAAAAAATGTATCAGATGAGAATTAAACAAATAAAGAAAAGAGTGAAAGGTTGGAAAGGGACTTGTGAAATTAAATTTTTTTTTAAAAATTATTGTTTTGTCCTATCGGGATCATTCACTTGATGAATTTAATTAATAAGAAGAAGCAACTAAAATTATTAATGGGTATATGAATAAAGTTAAAGAGTTGTTGCATTTTAAGATTGCTGACAATCCTACAACCACGTCCTCTAGGTTTTGTATTAGGTTGTGGCTTGATATAAATAGAGAGAAGAAACCACATCACACTGCATCACTTGAGCATGTTTTTCAACTTCCATTAGATTTTGAGCAAATATTAAAGTTTTATGTTCCTGAAAAGAGCTATTTATACACTAGGAGTACATCATTTCATCAAAGTAGTCAGATTTAGTTTACCACAATTCCAGCAACTACGGGAAGTAACAATATCATTAATAAAATAGTAAAGGAAGCAATTTGTATCTTCATTTGGGCCTAAAATTTTTTTGTAAAGGCATATTTTAAGCAACAAAATTGATCAGTATGACAATAAACATTCTAGTAGAAATTTGTATGTCAATGTGGATATGTATGTTATTAAAACCAAAAAGAATGATGATTTATATGAGTTTGATGAGGAGAATCGGGTAATTAGTAATTGTAAGAATAATTTAATTGAAACTTTTTCAAATATCGTGTGTTCATCATATCCACACCTAAGACAAAGTTTGACCGGACATGAATAAATTTTTAAAAAATGGAAAAAAAAACTTGGAAAGCTTATCATTAATAGTGAAGTTGCATGAATATCATGTCTATTTGTATTATAGACCACAGTGGTCTGAATTTTGGACGACATCCATATCCATATAAGGTAGCTTGGGAAAACAAATTTGGTTTTTATTCCAAATTTGTGTTTAGTTCCTACGCAATTAACTACTTATGAAATTGCTCTCCAAAAGAAATGACGGCTTCAGAAATTAGTTACTACAAACATAAAAAAAACGTTCGTTTGAGACTTTAAAGAAGAATCCATTCATAAAGCTAGTGCATGCGGAACAAAGTTTTCTAGTAAATAATTAACTGTAGATTCATCCACAAAGCAAAGCATGATCTATAAAGGTTCTATGGTGCAATAATTGAGATCCTAGAGAAAGCGGGGCTTGGCATAGATGTTTTACCTGGTACATTTTCGGTTGTGTAAATGAAGGCTCATCACCTTCATTGTGACCATGTCGACGATAGCACACTATATCCACCACCACATCTGAATGGAAAATCTGGCGCCACTCTGATGCAAGCTCACTGACATGGACCACTGCTTCCACATCATCCCCATTGACATGGAAAATGGGAGCATTTAAAGCTTTGGCAACATCTGTACAGTATTGTGAAGATCTCCCAGCTTGAGGATCAGTCGTGAATGCAACTTGATTGTTAACTACAATGTGTATGGTTCCACCAGTGGTGTAATTGGGCAAGCCGCTGAGATGAAGAGTCTCATAAACAACACCTTGCCCAGCAAAGCTCCCATCTCCATGGATTAGCACGCCCATATTCTTTGTCCTGTCAACATCATTGGAATAATACTGCTTTGCTCGTGCTTTACCAACCACAACTGGATCAACCGCCTCCAAATGGCTTGGATTTGCAACCAAAGACAAATGAATATTCCTTCCACCTCTGGTTGGCCTGTCATAAGAAGTACCTAGATGGTACTTCACATCTCCAGTTCCCGTGTATAAGCCATCCTCATCCTTGTGCGTTTTTTTGTCAAACTCACTGAAAATCTGCCGAAGTGGTTTCCTGACAACATTCCCCAGAACATTCAGTCTCCCTCTATGAGGCATTCCAATGACAATACTCTCAACCCCTAAATCTGATGATCTGTCAAACATTTCCTTCATGCCAGGGATCAAAGTCTCTGCACCCTCAAGCCCAAACCTTTTCTGAGCAGGCCACTTCTTAGCAAGAAAATTTTCAAACTGCGAACTCCAAATGAGCCTGTCGAGTATAACCTCGCTACGCTCCTGACTGTAACCCCGAGGCTTGACGGTCTCGATTCTTTCCCTCAACCAGTTGCATTTCTCCCGATCAGGAATGTGCATGTACTCGTAACCAATAGTCCCACAGTAAGCCTGCTCAAGCCTGTTCAAAATTTCACGAAGGGTTTGGATGGGACGATTCTCCGACAGAAAACCAGCCATCCTCCACACCCCGAGGAAGAACTCTCTATCCAAATCCGCCTCGGTGAATCCATAAAGAGCAGGATCGAGGTCTTCAGGTATCTCACGCTGTTCCAGCCCTAACGGATCCAGATTGGCCTTCATGTGACCGTTAACCTGATAAGCCCTGACGAGGAGCAGCAAGCGCATACTTTCCTGGATCGTCTGGCCAGAGATGCCCGGCGATGTGGCGGCCTGGCCGACAAAGTTCCGGAAGAAATTGTCCCATGACTCATCGACGCTGTTCGGATCAGCTTCCCAGGCGCGCTGGAGCTCCTCGAGGTAGACGCTGCTCGTTCCATTGAGGAAACTGTCGGTGAGGCGGGAGAGTGGAACGGGGCGAGGCACCGGCGTGGAACTTCTGCCCCGGAGGGCCGTCGAGTGAAAGGCTCGGAAACTGGGCAGCGGCGGCGCAGCGAGCGTTCTGGTACTGTGGTGAGCAGATCGAGCTAGGTTTCTGCGAAACGCGACTTGCGCCGCAATAGAAGCGGCACGGAACCACGACATCGGGTTGAATTGCGACCACGTCAATAATCAAACCTTCCAATATCTGAACTCGAGGAGATTAAACCCTAGAACTTGAAAAAAAAAAAATTTTTTGCAGGGTGGGATGAAGAACATACCTCATAATTGACGACACACCGAGATCTTTATCACCTCCGTCAGACTGCCTTTCCTTCCTCCGTTCTTCAGTTTTTTTTTTGTCTTTCTGGTCACCCTGTCGGCATTTATCTTCCACAAAAACGAAACGGGCAAGGGAGAAGGTCGCAAGCTGCGTGGCTTTAACAAATGGTTCTAGAAGCCTAAGGGGCTGTTTGGTATCGGATTTACAGCGGGATTTAAGTCCGATTTACGCTAAATCCAGACGCCTCTAAGTTATTATTGAAAGGCAAACGCTAGACGCCTCTAAGTTATTATTGATTAACTTAATTAATATAATTTAAATTATTAATACTTAAGTAAATTAATTAAAAAGTTAATTGTATAATTAGTGCATAAATTAATTATCTAATTTAACTTAATTATATAATTAGTAATTAAATATTAATATAATTAGATTAATTAATATAACTTAATATATGTATTATTAAATCTATAATTAATTATATAAATAATAATTAATGGATAATTTGTACTTAACATATTATTAAATTTATAACATATTATATTTTTTATTTTTTATTATAAATTTATTTTTAAGTTATAATTATCTTTTTCACATTTAAATGCCTAACTACTATAAATCCTGAAATATGTTACCAAACAGTTTCTCCGGATTTAATAGGATTTAACATTCGGCATACTAAACTGTTTTCATGATTTAACACATTTCGGATTTACTAAATCCGGATTTAATTAAAATTGTATGCCTCGATGAGACTAATCTAATGAGCTCAATATTATTTAATTATGAGGCCATTAAGTTACTTGAATGCTAAATGAATAGTTTATTATGAAAGGATTCATAGTTATGTGTTCGATAGAGTATTTTAAAATTTGGACAAAATTTAACAAATGCTACTCTAAAAAACTATAAATAGACTCTTATTCTCAAGATGAGGGAGACTTTAACCTTAATTTGGGGAGAGCATAAGGATTTAAGAAACTCTAAATCATTGCCCAGTCTCATGTTCAATATCGACAATTATTGTTGTTCGACCGTTGTCATCATTTTGTTATGATCTGACTATCATTAATTTATTATTTCCAACCGTATACTACTCGATCAACATTATCCAACTACCTTTACCTATGTGTCATTGTGTGACCACCATTGTCCAACTAATATTTTTGAAAGTTAACGTATAATAGTTAATACGCCACTAAAAATCCACTTAAGCTTGAATCTCAATGTACATTGGAATTAAAAACTTTAGGAATTAATTAAAAACAATTCAAACTTTGATTTAGTAAACTTAAATTTAGAAATGAATTTTTTGATGAGACAAACCCATCAACATTAGGAGTGATTTGATCAATGTCCGAACAAGCCTAGATCAAACATTTGAAAATAATTAAAATTTTGAAAAATTAATTGGAGGACCACCAAATCTCACATATTTATAGCCAAATCAAGTATCTCGAAAAGATAAATTAATTCTACATAGTCAATGATGCTTTGTTTTGATATGATTGAGATATTTAAATGTTAAAAGAATGTATTTTTTTTTTATTAAGGGAATCAATAATGACCATTCAATACATTTTTCAAATTTGGATTATTTCTATAGAGCATGTTAATCTCAAAAATTACAAATAAACCTTCAGTCTTTATATGAAGAGAACCATTTGCTTGAGATTCAAGAGAGCCAAGACTTGGAAGAATTCTAGAGCTCTATCAGACTATCTCCGATCGCCATCATAAGACCAATGTCATCAAACCTCTACATGATAGCCATTTGTAGGAACATTGTTACCCAACCACTATCAAGTATCATCGGAGCATTATCCAATCATTGCTATCGAGCCACCGCTACTCGATCACAATCATTGAAGCATCATCACTATACCACTATCATCGAGCACTAATACCTAACCATCATTATCACTTGACCATTATTTTTAGACAATTGCTATTTGGCCATTGTGCAACACCCCAAAATATAATTTTGAAATAATTATTTATTTTATCTCTTAATTAATTTGACATAACCATTAAGTATCCGTCAATAAAAATAAACCCACCGAAAAGCAACTATTAAGCATATACATAAAAAAATTATATTTATTTTTCAAATAAAAATTTTATAATAGCTAGGATAACACATCAAACAATCTTTTTAAAGTACTTCTTGAGTAGAAATGAATAATAAAATACTAAAATAAAATAAAACAGGAAAACATTCTTCACCCTTTCCTGGACCTCAAATCAATAAAAATCACATAATGAGTTTACAAAGCTCAACGGGTTAACAAAACCTACCATTGCATTCAATGCAAGGCAAAACAATCAATTTTAATCAATAAACTATCAATATAAATAATAAATAATCCATGCAATCAATATCAATCACAAGTAGCAATATATACAATTAATATCAACCAATAGTAGAAGCCAAGATGATCAGTAATATAAGAATATCTCAATAAATAAAAAATATTTATCTATCTATAAGAAAATCGATAAAAACTCTATAAATAAATAATAGGTGATGTACAATGAGACACATTAATTATCTATTAGTTATATCCATGTTGATGTCCTACTATATGCTTCTATCCACTGTTATACATTACATAGTTGTCTGTCAATATGTCATATCAGTATGTTCTATCAATATATTTATCAATATAATGTACTTGCACAACTATAAATGTCTAACGTGTATCTCTCATATAATAGATCATGCTACATCAGTCTCAATACTTCTATCAGTCTTATATATGATGTCATGTAAATGCAAATATGGTTACAATTATGAATATCAAGATAAAGCATCCAACTTTAAAGTGATATTTTCATCATTTCATATGTTATTAATCTGTCATATCAATCCATCATTACCCATCAATCACATTTATCAATTATTTATAATAATATTTTATTTTAACGAGTGAGTTTTAATATATTAATAAACATTTGTCACTCTCTATCTGACGACATAATTAATCAATCATTTACATACTAGCATCCAAGATTACACAATAAACTTTTTAGTTTAAGGAAAGCTAGTCAACTCACTCTCTTGTACATGATTTTATCATTTTAACAACAACTCCATATTAATTATAATGTTCATAACCAACCTTACTTGTTTACATGCAAATATCACATTTATCAAATACAAGTCATATCATTTTATCTTTACAGTTTAATATCATATATGAAATACAATAATCTATAAAATATGAGAAAAGTTATACAATGTTTATTAACTTTATAAAATCATAACTATCAATTTACTTGTTGAAATTTAATATTATTACTATAAAAATGCTCAGAAAGCTTATATTTATTACATTCGAGAAATTACACGGTAAAAGTTTGATGAATAAAAAGATAATGTATTTTTATCAAATCTAGGAGGAATAAAATATGAGAAATAAAAATCATCGAAAACATGTTTAAGATTTGGGTTACCTATCATGATTATAAGAAATCTCAAAATAGAACCGACGGAGGAAAATGCTTTGTACAACCTTCAATATCCTCCTCTCTCCCCTCTCCTTTCTTTTCTTCCCTAACAAGTCAGCAAAAAATAAGGGTGGAGAGGCTTAGCCACTTAGGTGAGTGATTAAGCAATTGGAATGTAATAAATTATTTTAAAAAATTAATTTGCTAGCCCAGTCAGAACAAACCCCACAACACCACCCATTAGAAAGCATATCTCTGCAACGCCCAACATCAATAATGTAGCGTTAGTTTATTTTTCAAAATTTTCCTTGAGCGCTCAACGCTACGACGTTGTCCCCACAATGACGTAGTGCTCTGTCGACCAAGTTTCAAGAATTAGGAAAAAAAATTAATTCAAAGTTTTTACACATTGTCATCACTTCGTCATTATAAGACCATTTTCATTTGACTGTCACAACACAACCTTCATTGTTGGACCACCACAATCAAAGAATCATGGCTGGATCACTATCACCAACCTCCATTGTTGATCCATCAATGTCTAACCACCGTCATCATCGGCTCATTGCCACATGAACCCTATTGTTTGATCAATGCTGCTCAACCTCCACCATCAGATGATCGCTACCACCTGGCCTTTATCATCAGACCATTGTTGTTGAACTATGTTTTTGGACCGCCACAATCGTGCGAACACCTTTCATACCTTATTACATTAGCAATAGAAAGTAATGTTGGTTGGTTTTCATCTCAAATTTCAATGTTTCACCTAATTTTTTGTCATAATCTTATAAGTCTATGCAAAACTTGTTAGACAATTTTATAATGAATCATATGCATAGACTCCCTCTAAGACTCCCTCTTCTACCTCACGACCTTTGTATGCACGCAGAAAAAAGACCCCCTCCATTTCAGCTGGCAATTTCAATTGCATTGTAAGCAATAAGAAAATACTATGGAGAAAACATGGTTGCAGCTTAAAGGAAAATTTGCCATCTCGAGACTGATGTGGGAAAGAAAGATATATGGGATTAAAGAGGTACCTATTCAAAAATCCCATCTATATATGTCAAAGATGTCTTCATCGTCTGACAATTTGACACCGCGCGCCAGTGTCGGTTCGCCTCCAACACTCTATGCGAGGTTCACCTCCGGCACCCCACTGTCCCACGCGAAAGAGAAAGAAGCTTGTGGTTAAGCCATGAGCAAAAGGTGGGATTTGAAGTAAAGATAGAGTGAAATAGAAACTATGTATTATATAAATTAATATATTAAAAGGATTTAAAAATAATTAATATTATATTTTAATTAAAGGAGTAACTTGACAAGCTTGCGAGCTGAATCACACTGAGCACGAGCTCGAACTTGTGGCTCAATAAACTCGACTCGTAAGCTTGTTAATGAGTCAAGTTCACTTACGACTAGTTAAAATGTTTCAAAAGGACGGATTCCTCAATATCCAGGTATAAGAACTAAAAGAGCATCAACTTATTGTTGATTTAGTATATATGCCTCGGGAATAAATGAATCTAACAAGAAATTGTATTGTGTAGATATGAAAATTTGATAAGACTCGAGGCAAATTACTAAGAATGAATTTTATTTGATGCAAGTATTTAAACTTGAGGAGCGAAGTGTTTGATGAGAAAGTATTAAGATACTTGAGAATTTATCGAGAAGGGATCTAAGTAGATTGATGGATCCCGA